AGACTTTTGTCAAGTACTATAATAAAATTACTCCAGCATAAAATTTCAGCCTGATTAGCTTTTATTGATTCATATTCTGCATCACATGCTTTTTCATATAAGTTGACGATATTTTGGAAGATGTTTGATTTTCCTGACCTGAGGTCAGCAAAATTTCAGTTGCATATTCTGAAGATATGGAGTCATGATCTTGGGTGGATGGGAATGCATCATCTTGGCTATCACCTGCAGATATTTCCTAAATTAAGCCTTGTTCTTTCTTTTGCTCATGAGAAATGGTGGGTGCAACATTTTCTTTATATATTGTTTCTATGAATTCAAGGATACTAGCCAGATCATCATCAACAATATCTTGTTGTGAAGACGTTATGGATGACACAGACTCTGTTAGAGATTTAAATATATATTTAGACTTACTTTTCTGTAGCTGGGTTGAGCTGTGTATTGGTTCAGATGTGGAATCGGTAATAATAGATTTTTTATCTTTTGTAGAAGATGCATTTTGGTCATTAATAGTGACTAGAGTCTGCATCTGTTCCAATTTTGTAACTCTATCTTTCAGCTCAGTATTCTTAGCAGTAAGTTTGGTAATATCTGTTTGATGTTTCTTTTCTAGTTCTTCAAATTAGATCTTGAGCACTGCATTTTCTTCTATAGCCTGTTTTAGTTCTGCATTCTCAGCTTCGACCTCTGCAAACTTCTTTCTAAGTACTGGAATTTCAGCATTCTCCTTTCTAAGTTCAGTAATCTCGGCTAAGAGCTTGAAATTTAATTCTTTCAGTAAATCAATTGCGTTTGACATTATTTTATATAGAAATTAGATATATTCAAAAGCTAATTAGCAAAAAAATTTCGCTGATCTTGGGTCAGGCAAATTTCATTGACTATAATCATAATATAATATATTATATATAAGTACTGTGCCTTGTATAATGTAGTACGTGACCTCAAGGTCACAATGTCATGTGACTACTATGCTCTATATTGCATTTTGTATAATATAGTACGTGACCTTGAATTAAAATTTGGTTATTCTATAGATATGATTTATTGTTATATATGTGAATATTTAATATTTGTTGGCCACTTGAGGTCACACTTTTATAAAAACAATATTAATATATAAAGTCAGTAACTGCTATCAAAATGGAATTGGTGTTCTGTTATAAAATTATCAATATTTTTTTCATGTAATTACATAGTTTTTCTCGAAAGTTATAAAATAAATAAAAGTTATAAAATTATTTTTTTCATGTAATTATATAGCTTTTCACGAAAGTTATCAAATTATATGACTTTCATAAAATTATTCAAATCTTCTTACTCAACTACCACCTTCATTAATAAAAGCTGGATGGATTCAGCTTACAACTCGAAAAAAAAATCCATTATCAGAAAGT